ATAAAAATGATTTTCTACGTTACTGTAGATAAATTATTTACTCAAATTTGGCAAACTGGCAACCTACTATTTCAGACTCTCATTTGGGAAATGTTCAGGACAGCTTTCTGACAGATTCATTGCTGTTACCAAAGGTTTAATGTCTTTCTTCAAAACTTTTATCATATAACAAAATGCCTCATAATAGGTAAGAACAGCAGTAACAATCAACTTGCAAAGTCTTCACAGCCTTAAAAAAGACAGACAATTCATGTTTTATGTTAATTTTTCCATTTACAAAGTAGAGATTGCTCTTCCACTTAATGTGACTGAAATTAAGACCTGGTGACATCCACATCGTATCTCAACAACAGAAAGACTCCAGTGTCGCTGCAGTGGGAGCCATTGCTCGTGGGGTGGAATTGCCTTCTGCACATCTGGAATCCTCAGCCCTTTGCATAACCACTGTGGACCCAACCTGGGCACTGCAGTTCAGAGAGATGAGAAAGCTCTTACACACATCTTTCCTTGCAGCGGAGACGGGACCAGTGCCTCACTCTTTCCTGTTAGGGTTTGTGTGATGGCCCATATCTAAAATGTCCCCCAAGTCTCTTGTGTTTGGCAGGTGATTGGAGTCATCGGATTCACCCATGGATGATTTCAGCATCTGCATGTGCCATTAGGAGGTGGGGTTTGGTTGGAGGTGGGTGATTGGATCTTGACCTGGAAAAATGTGTTCTTGTTGCTGGCTGCTTCCATCTCTCTGCTTCTTAGCCATCATGTGATGAAAAGTTTCTCTCTGCTATTCCCTTCCACCATGCCATTTCCCCCTTGGAGCCACCTGACCACGGACTGAGCCATGAGCTGCAGTAAACCTCTCCTACAAGTTGTAGGTGTTGGGTATTGTGTCCTGGAGATGACAGAGTAACTAAGTGGTTGGAATATGGCTTTTTCCCCTCCTCTCCCCCAATGTCATACAGAAGTTTAATCTTTATTGTGAAGGTCACATTTGATGATTGTAAGAAGCACACAAAATAGAATGTGTCCATTTCTCACTCTTGCCATTTCTGGTGTATCCTTCTAGAAATCTTCTTTTATAAACATATATTTAGGGAAAATGTCAGCTCCTCTGTTTCATTACAGGTGGGATCATTTGACATACTCTTCCGTGACTTGTTTTTCTCGCTTAACAATTACCCATTTATAGTAATAATATGTAATAACAATAGTCAGTATTCATTCAGACAGGCACTTTATTAAACACCTTTGCGTGCATTATCCTTTTCATGTTCATGAGCCATTGGTGGATAAAGATGCCGAGGATCAGAGAGATTAAGACATAAACCTGGCTGAGGATACAGCTCAGTGGTAGACCACACAGCCCTCGGTTTGATCTTCGAGAGAGAGGAGAAAGAGCAAGGAGAGAGAGAGAGAGAAAAACAGAGTCAGAGAGAGAGAGAGAAACAGAGTCAGAGAGAAAAAAGAAGGAAGGGAAGGGAGGGAGGAAGAAAGGAAGGAGAGGAGAGACTCAAGTTCGTGGGACGGGGCTGGGCTTTAAGCACAGGCTGCCTGCAGGGCTTGGACCACCACTCTGTTTCTTCTTCATGAGCATCAGGAGGCTGTGCTATGTCAACCTGGACCAATCTTTTTGCTCTCTTTAATGGCTCCTTTCAAAGGTCATCAGTGCCCTTCTCATTCTCCTCAGATCCATTGCTCTTGGGACCCCAATTGCCCATCTCTGCCTCTTTTTATCTGAGGACTTTTGTCAAAGCCCTCAAAGCCCAAGGCACTCTGCCCACCACCAGTGGTCCTCAGCCCGGGAAGGGAGTACCCTGACTCCCCTGCCCCATCCAAAGAGGGATGAGTATTCCACACTGACTCTCAAGATCCCCTCAGTGCCAAGATCCTGTTGGCCATGCTTGTAACTAGCTGGCTGTCACTCCTTTCTTGGCTGCCTTCCCTTCCAGTGTCTGCCTCTGTACCTCACCTACCTCCTGCATTGACTTCTTGTCTCCCACATTGCCTCTGGGGCACCCAGGTGGGACAGGATACATGGTGTCCACTGTATGACGGTAGCATAATTTATTCGCTCACTCACTCTCAGGTTGGTCGATTTTCACAGGACTTCCGGTTTTCTGGGCTGTTACAAAGAATATTGTGGTAAAAAATCCTGCACTATTGTTATGGGGTCCTGACCCAGACCCCGGGCTTCAGGGGCACACCCCATTTCCCTCTGCACACCTGAGCCTGGCTAAGGCCAGTAGCACTCTCTAAGGTGACTCTCCAAGTATAGGCCAGTTCCCAGTGGGTCTCAGAAGTCCTTTATCCCAAACAGGGTACTCTCCAGTGTGGAATTGCCACGTGAAGTCCTCTGGCATTCTCACTGATAGACTAGAGGGGGCAGTGGCCATGCCTCAGTTTCAGGGGAGTGGCTGGCTAACAGATCACACCCTGTTGTTAACACACAGTATTTCCTTTATGGGATTGTGGCAGTGAATGGCCAGAATGGATGGGGCTGATGTACTGATTTTAGGCGACTCAATTTTTTATGTAGGTGGGACTCCACCGGAATTATTTTGCCCTGCTCCCTGCACCCTCATGAGGGCAGTCTTATTCTGCCCTAGAAGTTTAAGCAGACATCTCCCAAATCCATCAAGCTCTTCTGTCTATATATCAAGACTTAGCTACTCACTGAATGCAATTAACTGTGATCTTCAGGGGGAAAGGAGATATAAAACAATTTTTTAAAAATCTTTAGAAAAATTTTAAGAAGACAAAAGATTGTAGCCAAGTGAACAGTGAGAACATCTGCAAATTGTCAGGAGACACAGCATTCCCACCTGCGCTGCGAGATGTGCTGGACAACACAGCTGAACTCATGGGCGACACAGTGCAGTACCAGGGATCAAACTCGGAACCTTGCGCTTGCGATGCAGGTGCCGGAACCACTGAGCTAAATCCCTGGCCCCAACAGTGCGTGATATTTCGTCACCAAAACGCCATGCCTTTGTGAGAGCCTTGTTATAAATAGCCTTTATCTAATGCAAGGGCATTATCCTAGGACTACAAAGCAAGTTATTAAAATTAGCATGATAATCAAAGACACTTTCTGCTCACATCACTTCTAGACATAAGATGAATGTAGGAGAGCCATTTGGAAATCCTGATTGTAGATTTTTGAGGTCATTTCAATAGCCTCTTTGTTTCCATATATTATTTTATTAAAAGTTTTTAAAGAAGAATATATAAAATGAATTTATATAAATCAAGATCACATTTTGATGGAATTACTATTTTTAACGTCTGAAAATCACTTTCCTAACCCTACAGGGCCCACCTGGAAGGTGGAAGTGGTCGGCACTGCCTGTCCACCCATTCCTTATCCATGCAGAATAAATCACCACAGCCAAAAGCTGTGGTAGTTCATAGATGAATCTGTGACCATGTCCTTGTCCTCTTAATAATGTACTTATACGTAACTGGAGCAGTAAACAATAAATTAATGGACAAACACATGATTAAAGGTGAGAAATGCTAGGATGCTACAGAGAAAGGGCACAGGCAGCTAGGATGGAGACTGGTGGAGGCTGGGGAGCCCGCTGCTCAGGGAGTCAGGACGGCTTCTGGGGAGGTGGCCCCGGCTGAGATCCATACCCATCGGTCAAAGGTCTTGGAAGAAAGCTACTCAGAGGGAAGGAGCAGCGGGTGCAGCATATTGAGGCTGGAGAATCTGTAAGGCCCAAGGTAAGGGGCAGTGCTTTATGCTAATGGAACTCAGAAAGCCAGGAAGGGGTTTTAAAAGCGGGCCAGGGCCATGAACTGATTTCAGCTTTAATGTCACTCTGGGTGTTCTGCAGACAGGGCATGGAGTGGGTCAGAGGAACCTGGAAGGCCTCTGAGGAAGCTGGAGCAGATGCAGCGGAGACACAGAGGCAGGTGAAATTCAGATCGATTTAAAGAGCAGAAACTATCAGTCAGTCATGGATTAAACTTTGACAGAACATCAAGGCTGACTTCCAGGCTGAGTAGTTGGGGAAGGTAGGTGGAGGGTCAGATTTGGGGGAAAATAAAGAGTTCATTTTGAATTTTTTTGCCCTTTTTTTTTTTTTTATGCTGGAGGTAGCATTGGTTCCAGGGAGATACCGAAGAGGTAGCTGGATGTGAAGGTCTGGAATTTAGAAAAGTCCAAGCTGAGACATGTAAGGGGGTGTTGGAATCAAGGCCAGAGGGGCATGGGAGGCAGGGACAGAGGAGAGCTGTGTCACAGGGCAGGGGGTGCTCCTCACGCCCCAGGCCTCCGTCCTGCAGAGCAGACCCAGCTGTGTGACCTGCAGCTGCCTGTGACGGCTGTTGCTGAGCTTCACTTCTGTGGGGAATGCAGTGGAGAGCAGGGTGTGTGAGGAGAGGCGAGATCCTCAGCGCTGGGCCTCGGGGTCCCACTTTAGGGACCTCAGGGTGAGCACTGAGCTCATGAAGCTCCTCCACCTCAAACAAGAGGCTACATTTTTATTCATGGATTACACAGCCTCAGTCCAAACTGAGACTGGGGAACTAAGTGACAGATGCTAAGCCCCGAAGAAGACAGAAAAGTCATTAGCTATTTGAAGTAAATAGGAGATCGGAGTTTTCCCCTCAGTTAACTTCTGTCACTTACATAGAGGTAAGGAGACTTTGATATTGTAAACTCTGTGCTTGATTAAAGAGCCCAAGGATTATAAATGGAACTGATCAAATGAAAATAGCCACAGAATTATAATCTGTTTATATAAATGTTTCTGGGAACACACACACTACACACACACACACATATTCATGCAGTAATGTAAACTTGCCAGGCAGTTTATATTCAGATTGGAAAAGGCAATGCCGGGTTTCTTTTTATCGTATGAAGTCAATCATTTGCATTTCTAGTATTAGACCTTTCTCAAATCTAACTTTTACTTCTGAGCATCCAAGTGACCGTGTGCTTCTGTTAGAAGACACTCCTTATGAATTGCTCCCCCCACATTTTTCTTTCTTAGGGTCAACCAGGACCACTAGGATCACAGGGTCCCATAGGGCCTCTGGGACCCCCAGGACCCATTGGAATTCCAGGAGAGAAAGGACTGAGAGGTGACAGTGGCTCTCCTGGGGCCGCAGGGGAGAAAGGAGACAAGGTGAGCTGATTTTTCAGAGCACATGAACCTCTCAGCAGTGCTGCTTTTCTGGGTTTTACAGTCACATGCAGGGCAAACTTGCACCTTGTCCCAAAATAAATCTGTGTTCCTGTGCTTATTAGTCCTCAGTCTCCAACTCATTCCAGAGAACCCTGACCTTCTCTGCTTTTTCTATGCACTTAAATATGTACCATTGATGGCTAAAAAACCCGACCAACCAACTGAAAAAAACTAAGTAACATATTACGTGTGTCATTATAAGCCCTTCTTTTTTAACTCAATGATATGTGTTATAAATTATTTTATATTAATTTTCATAAATCGGATTTATTCCTTTCAAATATTGCATAATATTCCATATTATGGATAAAATTATCCTTCGTTTCCTGGCAGTAAAAGTCTGAGATTCTATGCCAACTTTGTGTAGTGCCAGCTTGTAAAAATCCTGTAAATTGTTGTTGCTCCTGTTTAAGAGTTTGTTTCTGTACGATAGACCCTCAGAAGTAGAATTTCTGACTTCCAACATGTTGAATGTTTTATTTGAGTTAGTACTGTCAACATTCTCTAAGTACACACAAAAAGTAGAAAAAGTTGATGCTTAGGTGTTGTTACTGAAACTCATCTCATCAAAATAAAAGCAAGTGACAATGGCTGATGAGTATCAAAAATCAGTCATTAATATTTCACATTTGAATCAACTTGTTAATTAATAATTTAGCAATTTTTATATCATTGTTTTATTTTTGGGGATTTTAGGGTCCAACTGGTGTTCCTGGATTTCCGGGTTTGGATGGTATACCTGTAAGTTTCCCTAAATTTTCTCCTTTATTTTTTTAAAGAAAGGGGACACACTCATCAGAATCCTTAAAACCATGTATTTAGAAGGTATAAATATTGGGCAAACTTTTTTATTTTCTTACACTAGTGTATGGAAGGGTGCTTGCATTTCAATTTTGTACAGTAATTCTAAAACATTTTTCCTGAAGAACAAGGTTTTTGAGCAGATTAGAGAAACAAATTCCAAAACACGAGTTAGATACACTTTTGACATCAAGTACAATGTTCTGGAAGTAAATGCAGACTTCTAATGAAAGTTTTATTTCCTAGTGAGTCCTAGTATTGGAATTAAGTGGACTTAAAGACTCATTTCTAATATGAAAATCAAATGGAAGAAAGAAGAGATATTTGGGGGCCTTTATAATTCATTGGAGTTTTTCTAATGATCTCAGGGAAAGTTTCCTTCCCAAATCTCCCAGAATATTCTAAACTACATTAATTTAAATCAGATGTATTAAAATTTCATATTTTTACTCTTACTGTGCAATGCGGGTGGGGAAGAAAGTTTTATAAAATTTAACAACATGTGAGTCACAACTTGAAATTATATTGCATAACCTTTGTGTTATGATATTCTTGCAAAAAAGTCCCCATGTACAATTTTGTTTTCCGTAGGGTCACCCAGGACCTCCAGGGTCCAGAGGCAAACCTGGAATGAACGGTTACAATGGCTCAAGAGGAAACCCGGGGCTTCCAGGGGAAAGAGGAGCTCCTGGCCCAAGAGGCACCCCAGTAAGAAGCCCATACCTCAGCCTCATAGAAATCCTAAGGGAAAAGGCCCTATGGTAGGAATAGGATTGGTGTTTGCAAGCAACAGAGTTAACACGAGTGTTCCTGGAGCATAGCGAATGCCTGTGGACCACTGAGGGATGTGGCTGGAGAGGTGGGCAGGGCTGGAATTTGTGAGGCTTGCAGACTTCTTAAGCTCTTCAAATTGGACCAAACCCCATTCTACAGAGTCACGCACATTCTTGGGAGCAGAAGTCCTCCCTGAGTGGTGGCTTTAGCACCACATGTAGTACTGACCACAGTGCTGAAGTTGGCCACAGTGGTCTTTTTGCACAGCAACTGTCTTCCTCTTGCCTCCTGTGACGTAGAAGCAGCCCTCACTCTGTACAGTCATGTAAAAAGGGCCATGAAAGATGAAGCCACACAAGCCACATAAGTAATCTGAGCAGCTTGATGAGAAAAGCTATCATTGTTTTGTGACCTGTAAGATGTTCTGTTGAAACATTAAAAATTCTCTTATTGCCACTGATAGAGAGAAATAAAAAATAAAACTAATACTTATTCAGTACACAAATCAGTACACTGAGAATCAGTGTTTCATTTCATCAGAAAGACTTACCAAGCATAGTGTGAACAGTGCTGGCCTTCTCATTGTATATTTTGTGATGCGAAATGAATGTGTTTTCTGTTCCTTGACAAAAATGTCATACTTCTTTCTCAGCTGGAGTCTTTTCAATGGTGTGAAATATCCCACAGAGTTACTTTAACACACAGTTTTTGCCTGTGTCATTTTCTCCAAGACATTGTCATCTTTTTCACCGCAATCTCTTTCCTGTTTTATGTTGATAAGTTCATCTTTCTTGCATTCTTCTGGCTGCCAGTGTCTCTTGAATGACAGCACTGCCCACATTCCCACAGCCAGTTGATCCTTCTGTAACTCCACTTAAATTTATTTGAATTTCAATTCCAACATTGCAATTTTTCACTTATTTGATTTTCTTTTGTCTTTGTCAGCCAATTCTCTCTTTCATCTATCCATTTTTATAAAATGTCATTTGGGATTACCCCTGGGAGATAAGGAAATAGCACACCTACATCCTTTGCTGTGTCCCTGTGTGTATGTGTGTGTGTGTGTGTGTGTATACACACATGTGTGATAGATGTACATTGATTAGTCAGTGATTCCAACCTGCATCTATTAATTATGTATTGATTTGTGAGCTGAGCAGCTAGAAGTGAAGTTTGTACTCAAATAATTTCAGTTACAAAGGTAACTGAAGTTAACTGAAATCTGAACTGTTGTTATTGAACTGGTGTTATTTAATTGTTGAGCTGAAATTCATGCAGAATGGAGCTGTACAAAGCCAGGACTGCTTATATAGGCAAATCTGACTTCTCAAGCAAAATGTTGATATAACTCACTGTAAAGCCATTAAGTTTCTCCCATTGGAAGTAGAACCAGACACTTTTAATGGGATCAACTTTGAAATTTGTATGTTCTTTAAGGAGCTTGACATATCAAGTAGTAGAATTTTTATGTGGCAACTAAATTAAGAGATATTAAGTAGAATATGAAGATGTTATGTTAGGAACACTTTGGGAAGGAGAGTACTTTGAGGAATTTCCTTTCTATAGGAAAGAAAACACTGAAATGGTCATGTACTTTGTCCGCTGAACTGATTATTTTGTTCTCAGGGCCTTCTTGGAGAAAAAGGAGAAAAAGGAAATTCAGTGTTCATTTCAGGTGGCATTAAAGGTATTCAGGTAAGTATTATGATCTTTGTAGGTTTACTTTACTTTTTATCCCAATGGGTAAGCCATGTAGCAAGCATGTGGAAGGGATTTCCTATGAAGTGTCACTGAGTACAATGATTTTTCTTTTACTATTTGCCTGACACACCGAGATGATGCTGTACTTCTTGTGTGAAAATGCTGGTCTTACTCACCATGTCTGTGAACTTCTGGTACCAGCAAACCATTTGGAAATGCAAGGATACATTTATTTCAGTTTCTCAAAGTTGTCACTATTGACAGTTGGGGCCAATTACTTGTTTGGGGGAGGAGGGTGCTAAGCAGCATGCCTGGCCTCTGGCCTTGACCACATTAGGGTCCAGTAGCATCTTCTTATCCCCACCAGGAACCTTTCCAAACATTACCAAAGGTCAGGCGAGGACCACTGATTTATTTGTAGTTAAAATATTCTAGTGTTAATATTTGCCCTCTAGTATAATCAGAGCCACCACCATTGAATTTGAAAATCCTTAAAAGCGTAGCACTGTGTTTGATAAATGCAATGTTTTCAGCAGGGAATGATGTACAAACTTTCAGGAATAAGCTCTTGAGTAAGCACCTCATGTCTTGTATGAGAAGCCATGGATAAGTAAAGAGATCAGTGGACATGATGAATCAGGAGGAAGGAGTACATTTTCAAGATGTGGTCATTTTTCTTATGGAAAAATATTTTAAACCATTAGGTAAATCTAGTTCTAGGTTGCTTCTAGTAAACCTTAATTTCTGTGCCACCTGGAGTGGGAACACCTGAGTGTGGATCCCTTTTGTGAGTTCACAGAATGTGGTCGTAGCCTCTGCCCCATTCATACATGTTGGACTGGAAGTACTATGTGAATATAGTTCTGCTTCCAGGTGTGTCCAACCTGTAGCTAGCCATTTTCCCTCCTCCTAAAAATGTCATTATCAGATATTTTTAAAAGGAAGTTTTGGAACTTACATACATTACCTACATCATATATTTCATATGCACCCCAAGATGTCTCCTCTTCACTCAAAAAACAAGAGCAAAAATAGCCAGCAGCAGCTTGAACATGCCTGGAAAGATACATGAATAAACAACATCAAAACGAGGTCATTCTGGGAGCCATAATGGTGACTTGGGAGGCAGGAACTGACCCTTCCTTACTGTGGTGGCTTAAGCAGCCTCTTTACCTCGCCTGAGCCCCAGTTTCCTGATTGTGAAAGAAAATTCAAATAATATCTACCTTGCCTTCTCGCTGTTAAGGTGATGTGTTATAATGATTCAAATTGTAGTACGTTGAAAATGGTGTAATGCTGTACAGCATTAGTTATGGTGAGCATTTTTGTAACTGTGACAACAGAAAAGAAGCATGATGGGAGAGGAGATGAGTGTGAGAATTCTTTTTTTATTAGTACATGGACACAACACATCTTAAATATTTGCTAAAATAGTTTTATCCCCCACCCCTGTCTCCCTTTCTCTTCATCTCTTGGGTATGAGGATTCATCTTCAGAAATCAAAGTTTCCTAAGAAAATGATCTGTCAATCAATTATTTTGGGGCTGACTCTGTATCTACTTCACAGTCATTCAGGTGGCTATTATAAAAACAATAAAAGAAAAGTAACAAGTGTTGGTAACTATGTGGAGAGTTGGAACCCCCGGGCATTGTTGGTGGGAATATAAAATGGTCTAGCTCCTGTGGAAACATAAGACTACCATACGATCCCACAGTTTCACTTCTATATATATAACCTAAAAGAGTTGAAGGCAGAGACTCAAACAGATATTTATATACCCGTGTTCCTTATAGCATTATTTATAGTAGCCAAAGGGTGGAAGTTGCCCAAGTTTAACTACAGACAGATGAATGGATAAACAAATTAGCAAATGTGAGTATATCTATATAAATGAATATTAGGCTGCCCTGAAAAGGAGGGAAATTCTGACACATGCAGCAGTATGAGTGAAGCTTTAGGACATCATTTTATGTGAAATAAGCCAGACACAAAAGGACAAATAAGGTATGAGTCCCATTATATGAGGCTCTTAGAGTAGTCAAATTCCTAGACACAGAAAGTAGAATGCTGGTTGCCAGGTACTAAGGAGACTTGGGAGCTAGAATTTAATGGGTACAGAGTTCTTCCTCATAGAGGAAGATGAAAAAGTTGTGCCGATCAGTGGTGGTCGCGATTGAATAACGATGTGATATACTTAGTGCCACAAAATATCTGTACACCCCAAACAGGTAAAATATTAAATTGTATTTCATACATAAGTCTTAGATGTGGGCTGGAGCAGGTGCAACAGGCCCTCCCCATGAGGTCCTTTTCTGTCCACTCGAGGGTGTTCCCGGAGAGGAAGGCCTGCAGGAAATGGCCCAGCTGGGTGGAGAACTGAGAATGTAAACAGAAGGATGATTTTGTCTTCACTCTGTGTTGTCATGACTCCACCAGTCGTTCTCTGGTCCTTGCCTAGTAGGAGAATCCGGGGCCTAAGAATAGAAAAAGAAAATCACCTCTATGCAGCCCTTCTTCGGTTGTCCTCTCCACCCTGAAAAATTGAACAAACTGCACACTTAGATTCATCCAAATAGTCTTCGTACGTGTCTCCATTTTTACGTCATCTGTGTTTCAGGAAAATTGTGCTGCTCTTCTAAAACAATGTACCGTTATTATTGCAGGGAGATCGAGGGGACCCAGGACCAGCCGGGTTGCCAGTAAGTCTCGGGAGCAGGCCTTCTACTCCTGTTTCCCTCTCAAACAGCCTTCTGCTGCTAGCTACATAACTCGCAGGGACCACAGAGTCCAAAATGAAAATCTAAGTTCCTTGGTCAAAAATGATTAAGAATTTCAAGGTGGTGGCAGCAGAGTGTTAAATCCGTGTGTGACGGCGCAGGTCCCATGGCCACGAAGTGGACTCCCTGTTGCCTTCCCCTTCTACCTCTTAGTGGTCACGTGGCATTGCTCAGGTACACGCAGACACGTAAAATTTCGGGAAGTAGGTCTGCTTAGCAACTACGTGTATGATACACATACCTGCGCCTCCTGCCTAAGGACACCAAGTGGAAATGATCTTGGTCTGTCTCTCTACCATTTTTACCTGCCGAATCAGTAACCGTGAATTATATTTTATATCTTGCCCCATCTTTTCCTGATTATATTAGTCCTTCCAAATCATAAGATTAAAATTGAAAGAAATTTTGACTCCTGATCATCCTATAATTTGGCCTTGCAGTTTCTTGGTATTGACAGATTTATTTTCTTGGGTTGGTTTCCTTGGTATTGTCTGAAGCTCAGTAATAAATGAGATCTCCTTGATGTTGCTATTAAAATAAACAGCAGCTCATCTTCATAAAGAAGGCAACTTCTGTACACTCACAAGTTATATTGTTAGACATGGAAGTGGGGTGGAAGGCATCTCTCCACCCGTCCAGCTCGCCTGGCTACAGCCTTCCTTTGCCAACGTGCATAGCTATGCTGTGACTTTCATATTTCATACAATTGCTTATGGTGAAGTCACTTTGATCCTGGGCTGAGTGTGACATTCCTGATCACTTTGCTCTTGTAGGCCACCTTTTATGCATATAGAAAAATGTACAAATGCATGAATATTTAAATATTAATGTTAAATAATCCTAATATTTAAAAAAAAATCCAGAGGTGATATAGATGGAGTTTAGGAATAGCTAGCACCAACTTTTCTTTATTCTCAACTTTTTATTGGTTGGTTTGAGATCGGGTCTTGGCGTGTTTCCCAAACTGCTGAGCTCAAGGGCTTTTCCTGCTTCAGCCTGTGGAATAGCTGGGCCTAGGCTGATGGGCCTCAGCGCTGGGTGTTCTTGTCTTTCACTCGTACAAGATGCATGTGTTAAATCTTGTATTTCGGAGTCTGAACTGAATCCGATCATGGAGTAACAGAGCTGTTGCTGCCTTCCAGCTGAGCTGAAGATCATCCAGCCGAGCAGATGCGGTGGGATCGGGTGATGGGGAGGTCTTTATGCACCTGGGATGACACGCACCTCACTGTGAAAGAGGACTGGGGCTGTTTTAATGAATGTGCTGAGTTCTCTCCTGTCTAGGGATCCCGAGGTGCTCGAGGACCCACAGGCCCAATGGGAGGTCCTGGAGCCCCCGGCTTGACAGTAAGTGCAGCGCTGCTGATGCTGTCCCTCCCACACCCAGAGGCAACACAGAAATAGATGTAAAAAGCGGAACTGAAGCCTCGGGTCAGGCCCAGTGGGCTTCTTGAGTCCTTATGACCTTGAGAATCCGCAAAGCCCCACCATCCTTGGCAGGAATCCACGCTCATACAGGCTCCCTGTGTGACAAGCCAGCGACATCGTGTTTGTATGGAGCAGTCCGTCATCCACGATATGAAGTCCGTCATGCATATCTTTTATTTTTCATTGACATACAATAATTGTATATATTCAAAGGGCACAGTGGGCTATTTCAACATAGGCATCCGATGTGTAATGATCAAATCAGGAAATTAGTGTATCACTTTGAATGTTTACTATCTATTTGTATTGGAAATATTTAAAACCTTCTCTTTTAGCTATTATAAAATTATTCTTATTAGCTATATTCACCCTCCTGTGCTATAGGACACTAGAAATTAATCCTCTTTTCTAACTGTACTTCTGTGCCCATGAACCAACTCTTCTCTCTGCCTCCTTCTCCCCTATCCAGGCTTCCTAGGCCCTGAACTATTTCACTCTCTATTGTTTGGCCATTCTATGAGATCATTTTCTTTTTAGCTTTTACATATGAATGAGAACATAATAAGCATGTTTTATTTTTATTTTATCTTTTTGCTCCAATTCTTTTATTGGTACACTTTAGGTATACAATACGTTTACATTTATCATTGGGTGCTTGTACCTGTCCATGATGTATCTTGGTTCTTATTTTTTCCCCGATTCCCTGTGCTCCCTTCACCCCCTCCACCCTTCCCTATTTACAAAGACTTTGTTTCCATTTTTTCCTTTTCTCATAATTTTTCCTTTCCCTTCT